AAAATTCGCATACTCGCATGATCAAATATAACAATTTATCATGCTTTCACGTAATCATATAACAAATAATCACGTATTTATTACCTTAGGTAATAACCAGGACTCAGTTATCACAAAAAGAATTAATAGTTACCTCATCATTACTATTTTCTACAAAAACAACAGTACTTTATCCGGACCTTTGTTGGTATATTTGAACAAATATTTGATCGAAGAAGCCTGATTGCACCACTGAAAATTAATGTGTGCTTGATATCTTTTCAAGAGATGTTTGTTATATGGAACGACATTTCTGTTATCTAGTTTAACACTTGACTTTTCAACAAAACGTCCATCATCTCGTCTGTGATATAAAGGATAACCATTAACATCAATGGAAGTGTGTTTAGAAAATCTTTTTGGATAGTTTTTGAACACTTTCTATCAATCATGCAAGGAAAGTTAATGTTCTCTTCACCACAAGGTCCATGGATCATGAACTCTTTTACAAGTGAGTACAAATCTGGATCTTTGTTTTTGTCTGGGATCTCAGCTGAGATAATGAGATGAATTTGTTCAACAGCACGTAGCTTGAAATCAGAGTGCATAAATAAACATATATGACTAAGACACAACCCACACTTCTGAAATTCAATTGTATAAACAACAACAAAAAAGTCAAAATTTAAATCAATAAAGATAAAATCTTAGTATGAAAAATTTGTTAAAACTGTTATCGTAAATTCAACCTACCTGCCTGAACTTTACCGAATAATTCACTGTCACACCCCGCTAAAGCGGAAACGCGAGATACAACAGGCAAGCGTGTCACATCAACAATTAATAAATAACACCTTAATGTTTTACAAAATAAAACTAGTTTAATAACATAACTAAAAATTTTATAAACTCTTTATTTACAAAACTTCCGACTCAAACTAAATCAGCTTTGCCACGAGTATGCTCCCATAATACAACATATCTTACTTGCTTCCTGAAAAGCATGGAACATAAAATGAATCAACTACAAAGAGTTGGTGAGCTCAAAGGTTTTCACATGCATAAAACATTTTAATGCATAAACCAAATATTTGCAAACTTATGCGAAACTTTTGCACTTGATAAAAGTAAATCTTTCACGATGTAAAAACTTGAGACGCTACTGAGCCTTACCTGACCAACTTGCCCCATTAATTTACGAACGACC